TCTTCTAAAGAAATAAACATATACACGCTCGTCGAAACGAGCTAACATTGGTGCCGTGACCCAATCTTCTTCTATTTGATTTCATCGAAGAAGAATTAATTACTGGGCAAATTTTTTTTAAAAAAACTCATCCATAACAGGAAACGAGTGATATTGATCTCATCTTTTTTTGGAAAGAGAGAATTCAATATAATTATTGATACTAATTAATTATATATTTCATCACTAGAAGGTATCGTATTTTTCATATATACATATTTCTTTTCTTTCTTTTCATCCTTTTGTAAACAAATACACAAACACGTCGGCCAATACACGAAGTACAACAAAAGAAAGTCGTGCATCTCTTTATCCATATCAAATAATAACATTTCCACAGCCACGAAAACGAAAGAAAAAAACATCTAATACATCGCCTATACAAAACATGTCGCCGACGTCGAAAGATAATAACTCTGAAGAAGAGACACCAACAAATAATAACACGACGAATGATACCTCGACAGAAATTACTTCGATGGATCTTCGCCAGCTACATTCAAGTCAAAAAGAAGCTATGAAGAAAATTATGGAATTTTCTGGAGAATCTACTGAACTTGATATTGATGAATGGTTAACTGATTTAACCAATTTATTTGGATTAATGAAATTAAAAGATGAAACAAAAATTCTCGAAACTATGGGTAAATTAACAGGATCAGCTTTACGATGGTATCAAGAAAATTTAGGATCATTTACTAAATGGGAAGATGCTGAAAAAGCATTAAGAGATCGATTTAAAGAATTTACATCATATAGTCAATTGATGCAAGATTTTATTCAGATCCAGCAAGAAGAAAATCAATCAGTAACATCTTTTTATGAACATGTTATGCGAAAATATAAGAAAGCTAAACAATATATTACTGAACAACAAGTAATTACAGTATTACAAACTGGTGTAAAAAATTCAATGAAAGAATATTTAATTCGAAATGAAAAGAATATTAATGATCCTGAAGAATGGTTACAATATGCACGAGAAGAAGAACATATACAGAAACGAATTCAACAACAGCGTAGTAATATGGGTTTGGAAACAACAACAACAACACAACCTTTCTTTGATCCAGTTATGTCCGTGAGAACATTTCAACCAACATCATCAAATAATCAATCATCAAACCGATATACATCAACAACAAAGTACCACCATAAACAATATAATCGTCCGGAAAATAATGGTACATATTCAACACAAAATAATAATCAAGATGTTAGAACAACACGGAAAAATGATTGGAATAATACAACATCCAAACCTAATCCATGTTTAATATGCAATCGAACTAATCATCCAACAATTAAATGTTATTACAAGAAAGAAAAAGGCTGTTACAAGTGCGGACAATCAGATCATCGAATATATGATTGTCCACAACAGCATTTTTTCGAGTAGGGGGGTCGGATGATGGCGACGATCCCCGTGGAGTTCAACAGTCATCTATTGAAACAACATATAATCCAATTTTCGTCAAACTTTTATGCAACAATACTCCACAAGAAGCACTTATAGATACTGGATCGGCCATCACATTAATACACAAATGCTTATTAAACAAAATTTCACATGACAAATTCATACCAAGAATAAAAAATCATTTATCAGCAAGCTGTTCAACAATAGATATTATTGGTGAAGTAACTCTATGTATAAATATTAATGGAATAATTACTCTAGTAGTTGCTGATGTAGCAACAAATCTAGTAACCAATTTAATACTTGGAAGTGACTGGATTCAATCAAATAATGTTTACATTCTGACTCCAGAAAAACGAATCATGATTCGACGGCAAGGTAGAGAAGTATCAACTCCTTTTATTGATCCACCACTTTTAAATTATCCTGTTACTCTTATCAATCATATTACTATTCTTCCTTTTTCAGAACAAGTGGTAGAAGCAAAACTTCGACAAGAAGAAATGATGAACGTATTGTTTGAACCCAATCCTCGATTAAAAAAGAAGGCATTATTTACAGCATGTACACTCCTCAACATACAAGATGGAAAAGTACGCATGAGCATCATCAATGCAACCAACCGACAGCAGACACTGTCAGAAGGAACCAACATGGGTATGGTGACACAATTAGCAACATCAGTCAATTTTATTATTCCACAAGATCATTCAGTTCAACGCATTCCGAAAGGAAAAGCGTGTATGGAGCTCATCCCAGAAGGGAAAAGAGCGAATATAAACGATGGAATAAATTTCATTAGTGCTATTAACAGATCATACCAGCAAAATCAACATCAATGTCGAGAATGTCAACAATATTTTCAGACTGGCAATGAGTTATTCAAACATCTCAGAGATACATGTTATCCTGATGAAATACGGAAACAAATAGAAAACTTAGTTGCACATATCAAGGATAACACGCAACAAGAACAATTGAAACACATTCTTTGGAAATATGGAAAGTTATTTGATACCAGTCAACCATCAAAAATCGATATAGTATTGAAGAATGCTATTGATACTGGTACACATCGACCTGTTCACACTCCACCTTATCGAAAATCAACCAAAGACCAAGAAGTTTTAACGAATGAAACACAAAAATTATTAAAAAATGATCTCATTGAACACTCCACATCTCCTTGGTCTTCACCGGTTGTACTGGTGAAAAAGAAAGATGGAACAACAAGATTTTGTGTTGATTACCGTCGATTAAATCAAATAACAACAAAGGATGCTTTTCCATTGCCAAGAATTGATGATATCTATGATCAATTAACCAAAACCAAGTACTTCACGAAACTCGATTTCAAAGCAGGGTACTTTCAAGTACCATTAGACGAGGCAGATCGACCAAAAACTGCATTCTCCACTAGAGATGGTCATTATCAATTCAAGGTGTTACCACAAGGATTAACCAATGGACCACCAACCTTTCAACGAATTGTTAATCAAATATTAGGTCCAAATCGATGGAAACATATGCTGGCATACATTGATGATATTATTGTATATTCGAGAAATTTTAATGAACATTTAAAACATATTGAAGAAGTATGTTCTTTATTACAATCCGCAAATTTTAAATTAAACATAACAAAATGTGAAATCGCAAAAAATGAAATATTATTTCTTGGTCATCTCATTCAAGATGGAACTATTAAACCAGATCCAGAAAATACTCGTGGTCTAGCTGAAACCAGAGAACCAACATCAGCTGAAGAAGCATTTAGATTCGTCAAAGCAGCTGAATATTATCGAAAATTTATTCCAAAGTTTTCATTCATTGCTGCACCACTACACAAATTATCACCAACAACATTACAACAACAACAGACAAGTAGCAAGAAAACAAAATTTGTATTATCAGATGAAGCAAGAATGGCATTCCATCAATTAAAAAATATAATGACAACAGATCTCATACTTGATATACCTGATGATACATTACCATTTAAATTACAAACAGATGCAAGTGTAGATGGAATTGGAGCGGTTTTAATGCAGGTTACTCCAAATGGTGATCGACCACTAGCTTATATGTCAAAAAAGTTAACAAAAACACAAACAAAATGGGCGACAATTGAACAAGAATGTTATGCAATAGTACAAGCTGTCGAGAAGTGGGACAAGTATCTTCGTGGACATGAATTCAGTTTGGAAACTGATCATGAACCATTAGTTAATTTTTCAAATAAGGAACAATTAAACAAAAGATGTGAACGATGGAGATTAAAATTAGCAGAATATCGGTTTAAGGTGAAACATATTCAAGGGAAGAAAAATAACATAGCAGATTATCTTTCAAGATCACCAGTGGAAGCAGCCGAAGAAGATCCGGACGAACGAGTTCAGTATGAATCAACATCAACACAAACAGATTCATCATTATCAACAAGCAATAATAAATTAATACCATTAACAATAATAGCACCGGTTACTCGAGCTGCAGCCAAACAACAACCCATGACGACAGCATCACCAACATCAACGAATGGTAAAACAACGGAACTCATCCCGCAAGGGAAAGGAGTGATGAATAAAGATCCAACGGTGGATGGAGATCCAAATAGGATCATTCCATTTGACATGGAGGATTTAAGAAAAGAGCAAGAAGAAGATACGATGGTGCAACGAATAAAAAATAACATTAAAAAATACAAACAATACATATTAGAAGATGGAGTATTACTGAAAAAACAAAATTCAACACATCCTTCAGTACCATTCGTTCCACAAGGAAGAATACGAGCGGATATTTTAAAAATTTATCATGATACACCTGCAAATGGTGCGCATTTCGGTCGTGAGAAAACAACAAGAAAAATACAAGAACGTTACTACTGGCCAACGATGACTGCTGATATTCGAAATCATATACAATCATGCTTATCTTGTGCACAAAACAATCATCAACGTCAGAAACCTCCAGGAAAACTCAAACCAATACCACCACCAGATGGAATATGGAAACTACTTAGTATGGATTTTCATGGTCCAATAACACCAACAACTCGTCAAGGCAACAGATATATTATATCATTAACGGATGTATTATCAAAATTTGTTATAGCAAAAGCTGTTAAAGATTGTTCAGCAGCAACAACAGTAGACTTTCTTACGAAAGATGTTATTCTAAGATATGGAACACCAACATGTATATTAACTGATAATGGTACACATTTCACATCTCAACATACAAATAATTTATTTCAAAAACTTGGTGTTACTCATCTATATACAACAGCATATCATCCGCAAACAAATGGACAAATTGAAAGATTCAATGCTACAATGGATGGAAAAATAGCAGCATTATGTAATGAACGACGTACAAATTGGGATGAAATATTACAATATGTTACGTTTAATTATAATACATCAATACATGCGATAACAAAACAAATACCATTTGAAATGATGCATGGAAGACAAGTTATTCTTCCATTTGATCAACAAAATGAAATTATATCGCTTACACAAGACCCAGAGCATAGTCAAAAAATTATAGATTATTTAGAAAAATTAACAGAAGAAGCACGGAAGAATATACTTAAATGTCAACAACAATATAAAACTCGATATGATTTAAATCGACAAGAATTAACAATAAAAATTAATGATTTAGTTTTAGTGAAAACAAAAAATCAAAGAAATAAATTTGATATTAGATATGAAGGTCCATTTCGAATTATCAAACAATTAGGAGTTAAAACATTTATTGTACAACATGTAAAGAAAACAACATTAACAAAACAAGTTACAATGGATGTCATCGTTCCATTAGTTGAACGATGGAATTTAAATGAATAAACACATCCTCATAAGGAAAAGTGTGAATCGATCATAATAAGAATTAATTAAATAAATATTTTATTTATATTTATTTAATTGAATAAATAATTCATTTGTATTTATTTGATTAAAATATGTGAATTTGATTTAGCAGTTCATATCGGGAAGATAGATTTTCCCTTCTCACTGATAAGATGGGGCTATCAAAAACATATAGATATACATATATACATATATATATCATAGTCATATATGTACAAGCGACATCTATTTTTTTCTATCCATGGTCATATTTAATCGATGTATCATTGCGATCACGCGCGGACTGCACGATACGACGAATGACTAATATGGACGAAATAATTCTTATACGTATATCGTACAACAACACGACACGGTCGACTTCACCACATCACAGAACAGGAAAGAAAATATATCGAGAAAATTATCGAGTCATGCCACTTTAATCTAAACGTATATACATATATACGCGCGCACACGTATATACATATATATGCGCAACAGGAAAGAAAGAAAACAAATAAAATAAAAATAAAATTTATAGATATAGGAAATATAGATAAAAGAAAAATAGATAAAAGAAATATAGATAAAAGAGAGAATTTAACTTCTGACCGACACAAGGTCATTTATAAAATTTACTATGTCTAGACAAACACGAAGCCTTTCTGAACTACCAGAATATTATTCCAAGTTAACCACGAAACAACAACGAAACTGGAGGAAAAATACAAGGAAAATTCAATATAATGAGTCATTACGTGAACAATATGCACCATATCGTCCATCATCCAACATTATCATAACTCACCTTCATCATCAAACTTCAGTTGAAACAGTTGAAACATTAATTAAGCAAGCAAAAGAAACAAAAATGTTTACTGTGGATACGGAATGTCAGAAAGGTGAACGAGAAGAATCAGGTGCATTAGTACAAATACAATTTATTCATTCAGTTAATGAATCAACCATTATTTTAGTTGAAACAAATTTTTTACCTGCACCACAAACAACATTATTTAACAAAATTAAAGAATTATGTGAAATTATATTTAACAATGGCAATGATATAATTTCGTGGGGTCCCATCAAAAAAGAATTTAAAGAATTTCATCACCTCAATTTAATCGATATAGGTAAGATTGTTGAATATAATCTACAATTTTTATTTAGTAATCCAAATGGTAAACCTATAACGCATCCCGCAAGGGAAAAGCGTGATGAAATAACCAGGTGTTCATTTATAGATGATACACCTGGTGATAATGAATCAGACGATGATTATGATGATCAACCAGTTCAATCAACTTCAGGTGAACCAACATCATTACAAGATGCAGTTGCAACAACATTTAATAAATATTTGGATAAATCATTAACTCTTAATTATTGGAAATGTGGTATTGATTTAAAATTAAATACGTGGAGAACAAGATTATTTAGTCGTAACAGATATGATGAACATATTGAAAAAGAAGAACGAAATGAAATGGCAAAATATGCTATTAATGATTGTACATCTGTTGCCGAATTATTTATCCACATGTATCCAGAAAAATTTAATAATTATTCAATACCACCAGCAAAAAATTATATTAATGATTTATCAGATATTAGTGATGATGAACCGATCGAAATGTTACGACCAAAATTCAATAACAAACAACATGAATTAATTGTAACAACAACACAACAGGAAATGGATGAAATTAATCAACCTGAACCACAACAACCTCAAGAAATAAACCAGCAACAACAACAACAACAAAATACATTAACAAAACAACAAAAAAAAAATTTAAAACTTAAAGGGAAACAACAAAACCTTCCACAATTTCAATTAAAAATAAAGCGGCCCATATACTACCGCTACGACTACCGAAAAATTCGATCTCAATTGCTTGACGATAAAATATACACAAGCAAACAAATAACAATTGATCGAAAATATAGTGAAGTCGTTATTGGCTTTAAAACACAAGAACGATTTCAATATGCAACGAAAATAATGAGAATTAATTATTTTTCAAAAGAAAGTTACAATAATAGATGGTAATGAAAAATAAAATTAAATATATATATAAAATTAATGAAACAAAAAAAAAAAAAAACAAAAAAATTAACACAAAAATGAACACCAAAAATAAATATAAACAAAAGAAATTAATTATATATTTGGAAAATTTTTTATTGAACAAAATGAACAACCAACCAACAATGACCTAAACAACCAACCACAACAACTTGAACAATTGACCACAACAACAAACAAATTCTGAACATGCAACTTATTGACTTGCTGTTATATCAAAAATATTAAATGGCAACATACATGATTATATTTAATAGATTATGGTGAAGAAGTTGTTCAAATCTCATGTAAACCAATTCAATGTTTAACAAATATGAAAAAGTTTGATATTGAATTAAATAGTTTATTAAACAATGTGATCATTATTCATCAATAAATTGTATCACATAAAGATGAGAAGAAAGATTCTATTAAACAACGTGATTAAAAATTGGTTATACAAATTAAATCAACTCGATTATCAAATGAACAACTTGGTTTAAGACTAATAGCTAACTTAAAACAATCATTACATCCTATTCGATGTCCATCATCATCATCATAAACAACAGCAACAACCGATGGTAATAATGATAATGGAAAAAGGAAACAATCCATACATAATCAACAACAATTAATCGAGGGAATAAATTCGAATAAATGTGAAACAATGCAAAATAATCATTAAATGCATTCCTTCATTTAGATATGGAATAATAATTAAATCGAATTCAAGGAATGTATCAGTTTGATCAATCAATTCATCAATGGATTTTATGTCTACATAGATCGTTAATATCCGACGATTTGAAAAATCCATTTACTAATGATATGTATATTCCACAACATGGTCAATTTATAATATAAAATATTCAGTCTGATTAAAATGTTACTACTTTCCGATATGGAGGAATATTAAAAACACCTCAAACATCATTACTAGATATTATTGGTGTACAAGAAGTTACATTGAATTTTCTTAATCTTCTATCGAATGAAATATGGTTATAAGAAAATAATGATTACATTATTATAATGGGAAATGTTATTGAACATAAGCGAAAACAATATTATAGACGATTAATGCTAACAAAAAATCTTCATGCTCAAGTATTTTCAACATGTCCACCTGATTTATCTGAAGATTCATCGAATACAAATAACATTAAATAAAAATATATTATTGCTCGACTTAGATTACATTTGTATGTGGACATACATCTTCATCCGGGAAGGGGAGAACTGTTAGGGGAGTTTGTCTCTCTTCTTTCTCTCTCTTCTTTATTCTAG